GCTGAACCTATACATCCCCAGAATACTCATGATTCCGTAAAGACAGTCCAGTAGTTGTCCTGTATGAGATCTGAAGAAGAGCTGGAATCTGTACAGTTCTGCTGGACTTCACTACCAAACACAAATATGCCTCTAATTTGGAGAACTTCACTACCAAACTCAAACGTGCCTCTACTGCAGTAAGTGGTTTTCTGAGCCTTAAAACTTGGCCAAATTTGCATTGTTTTACACACAGATGACTAATCTCTCATCCCACCAAATACCAGGGCAACCTCCTCACAAATGTCAGGTCCCTGTGTAGAGGTCCTGGAGAATCTCAGCAACACAGTTATCAGAATTATTTTGCACAAGGGTAAAATATTTTCATTAATCTCATTCTCAGATATAGAACTATTTTTGCTGAAGCTTGTCAAAAAACAAAACAAAACAAACAAACAAAAAAAAAAAATCAGCCTTGGGTGAATCCAGAACACAAAAAAAATGTCAGGCAGCTCTACCAACTCCAAGTATGATAAATTAACAAAATAAATAATTCACTGATTGGGAACAAGGCAGAAAAGAGGATAATATTTGACTAATCCTAGCAGTATATAATTTGACTCATGTCCTACATCCAGGTCAGAAGTCACTGGCTGAGTCATACCTGGACATTTCTGTTCCTTGGGTGGTGGCACTGAACAGGGCAACCTCAATTACTGGTGGCAGTGACCAGGCCAGCGGTGCAGTAGCTAGTATTTTTGTGACCTCCCTTACCTTCTTCACCACAACAAACTTGCTGCCTGGAACTAGTGCCCTGGTTGCCCCCTGCTCAGTTATGCTACTTGTAATTGGCATCTTCATTCATGACCCAAGAGACCTTATTTCAGTTGCTGATGTCAATATTTCTCAACTAGATCAAATAGTTTATATACTTAGCTGTTGCCAGGTTTATATATTTTAATCAACATAGACATTCAGTGCATTGATGGGCCCAAAATTCTATACAACCTTTCCAGCAGTATTGGAACATTGTATACTTGTTTCCGTCTTTCATAATTTGATTCTTCCCATCGCTGAATACAGCCATTAGTAAACTTCATAGTACAATGCTTGAAGTTCACGCTTGAGCGATGAACACATGAAAGGCTATAGGGTACAATTAAATTGATTTCCCTAAATGCACTTCTACTCTGGTGTAAACACACATCCTCAGGTTTCACCTTAATTGAGTAAAAGTCTTATGGACTTTGAACACAATTTTTTCCTAACAAATACAGTGAAAAGTGAAAAAAAAATCTGCCAAAGAAGAAAAAGAAAAACTGTCAGCTTCTTTACAGTTGAGTTCGGGATAATGTATTATATCAGTAGATGCATATACAAAGTACAGAGCTATGAAAGCAAATTCCTATTACACATGAAAAGGAAAAAAGAAACTATATTAGGCTTTTCAGCCTCACAATTACCTGAAATATTCTCTTTTCAGATCCTCTTTGTTTGATGTATTCTTTAGGCAGGAATTCTTTTAGGCTGTAAATAATAATAATCAACAGTTAAAACTAATGTCTTTGGGGAGCTGGGATCTTTTCTATGCTCCCTTACTAGCATGAAGCTCTTCACCATGGCTCTGAACATGGACATAAAATACCCTGTAATGAAACAAGACTATGGCTGGATTATCAGGTGAGGTCAATGGGTTAACTGTCTTAATTAAAACATACTTCAGCAACATCCATATGTGATAACACTTCATGTTTCTCCAGTGAACAAAAGTAAATAATAGCTGGGACCCCAAACCACATCACCAAACCACATGATGCATTTCAGCAGCTTGGAATATTGCTCAAAGGGTTCATGTACAAATCCAAAATGCTGATTTTTTTGTTTTTGGGGAAGGAAATCAAAGTACAAAGCAGTTGCTTGTCAGCAGCTCAGTCTCTACAACTACTTTCTAGTTGCCCTATGACTTATTGAGGTGTAGACTGCTAGCTGTATCTTCTTCTTCTTCTATAATGTACCTCAGCCAAATATTACTGCAGCTTCTGGGCATCAACGCCCTGGAGAGAAGAAAAGGCCATGGTCTTCTGAGAGGAATTACATTCTCACTTTATGACAGTGTGTTAGTGGTCTAGCAGGTTCATAAGAATGCAAATGAGAATCACAGAAGAAAGGAATATTATACAGCCTAATTTTCTCTCAAATTACTATCCAAGTACATATAAGGTAATGACATGAATGTAGCAAACTTACACTTTCTACCATTAGAAAAGATTAAAATAGCTTTTAAGAAAATAAATCCTTTATTTTGAAGTCTTTTTAAAGAAAACTTGCATGAGAATTGCTCAAATAAAATTCAAGATTTTCTTTCTTTTTACAAAGAAAAAAAATGTCAGTAGTCAGATGATTTACTTTGTCCACTACACAAAATTATAGCAATATAAATCAGAATTCAAGTAATTTTTACTCCTGCCAACATCATAGCAGTTATGGCTCAGTTTTAATTTGATTGTGAAATCTCCTTTAGGGCTTGTCTGCATGGAGACACTCAGAAAAAATAATTCAAATTAATTTATAAGAAGTGGATTAATTAACCTGCATTACATTTCTCTATTGACGTTCCAATTTAGATTTTAAATGGCCTTAGTTCAGTTTAGTTTAATTTACCTTGGAAGTAAATTAAACTAAATCAAATTAAAGCTACTTGAATTTTGCATGAAAGTGCTCACACAAAGGTTTAATGCACTTTAACTACCACTTTCAAATAATTTTCCTAAGTATCCCTATGCAGAGAAAGCCTTGGATGAATACAACATTATGTATAAAATAACTTATTCTAATGCACATCCAGTAATGCTAACAGCTAAGATACAATTTTCTTAAAAATGTAATGCTGACCTAACCCAATTTAGAGTTTTAATTTGCATTAAGGAAGGGAAAGATAGTAAAACATTCCAATGACATAGTCTGTTTTCACAATTTCCTAAAACAGAAATTCTAAGCAGTAGCTGCTTTAGAGGAACTACCCAACCAGGACATGATTAGAATGTTCTATCCCCTGTAAGACCCTCCCTGGCATCAACTATCATTGGTTTAAAGATGTTAGGAGATGTCCCTGACTGTTCCATTTAATAGCTCCCAATAGATCTGTCTTCTGATAAATAGCCCAATCCTTTTTTGAACCTGCAATCAGATTCTACAACCTCCTGTGGCAGTTTCACAAGTTAACTGTGGGCTATAAAAATATAGTTCTACTTGCCTTTCACTAATGCCCCCCTTGTTTTTGTATTCTGGGACTTGGGGAATAACCATTCCAGACTCACTTTATCCATCCACTTCATGATTTTATAGACCTCTAACATTCTCCCTCAGATATCTCCTTTCAAAATTGAAGAGACAGATTTTTTCAAGTCTTGCACAGTACAATAGTTGCCCCTTAACTCGTGGTCATCTTTGTTGCCCCTCTCTGTACATTTACTATTTCCACTACATTTTTAAGATGTGTAGATCAGAATTTTATGCAGCATTCCAAGATGTGGATGCACTGTGGATTTATACAGCAGTATAATGATACTTTCCATATTGGTTTCAATTCTATTCTTAATGGTACCTAATATGATTTGTTTTTTGGTCACTGATGCATACTGAGTGTTTTTAGACCACTACATAGTGTCTCCGAGGTCTTTCCTGAGTTGTAACACCTATTTCAGAGACCAGTAGTATGTCTAGATCAGGGCGCCAAAGATGTGACCTGCGGCCCAGGTCTGGCCTGTGGAGCCCTGTAATCTAGTCCCCAATGCTGTCTGTGCATCTTGTAAGTTGACCGACAGACGGCATACAGGGTGTGCTGGATGGTCCTGTGCACTGTCCACTCCAGTGTTCATTGGCTCCATGCTGGATCCAGATTATGTCCCAGAGCAGTTGCTGCATGCACCATGGCCCCACAACCCCAAAGCAAACAGTGTGCAGTGCAGGCTATCGGATAGCTATGCCCGTATTCTACTATGGTTATTTCCCAGGCTTCTGGGCTTTGCTGTTTGCTGCATAGGGCTGGGAAGGAATTCCCTGCTTGCTCCTATACATCAGGGGGGGTTTTGAAGCCTTCCACAGAGACACTGGGTGTAGGGAGCATGGCTCTCTTCCTGGGATCTCTTAAGCATATGTTAACAACCTTTACAGAAGCAGGATGATAGCTGCTGTGGTTCCCCTACTTTACCTACAGCAAGTTAGGATGTTATGTTTTGTGTTCTGTTAGGGTTGACTGTGCAGTTTTATTAAGAGGTTTAACAGTGGATTTGTATAGGATGGGTTGGATAGGGATGATTCTGCCTCAGGGCGATGTTGGATTAGATGACCTATGGAGGTCCTTTCCAGCCCTACTTCTTTATGATTCTATTAATATGCTGTTTTGTGTATGTAAGTGCTTTTTCTGCTCTTTCAGTTTGTAACCAATTTATCTTATTTTTAGTTTCAATTAATTTTTATATACTTTCTGTGATTGGCTTATCTGGTATAATTTTTAAAGTCTTTCCACCTCACTACTCAGACTTCGCATTTCCTCTCTTGTAGCCCTTCTTAGGTAAGACTCTTTATTTATTAGGCTGCTTTTGATGCCTGCTTTGAAAGCATGACATAACATATTCTTTTTCATAGATTCATAGATTGATTCATAGATCGTTAGGGGCTGGAAGGGACCTTGCAGATCATTGGGTCCAGTCCTCCTCTTCCCCCCACTCTAGGCAGGAAGACCACTGGGGTCAAGTGACTGTAAGTCATAACTGGGGTCAAGTGAATGGGGTCATAAGCCTCTAAGATCTAGAGGTTTGGTGGAGGGTCTAGTCAGGCTTGGAGCCCAACAGTATTAAAAGCCCGTAAGTTGTTCTTGCTGAACTTCTAGTCCAAATGTAAGAAATCTAGTTTTTACATTATTTCCACCTTTCGCTAAGATCATACAAGGAAAGGATTTTGGATATATCCAAACCAAAACTAGATAATGGGCTTCTTTCCTTTCTGGATGTCTAATTTATAACTGTAGGGGAAAGGGTGGATGCCTCAATTTATACGTAAAAGGCTCTTCCTGAAATTGTGAGGTATGTTAAATTAGTGGATTTAAGCCCACCTCTAATAAAAGAAGCTGATTTCTAATGGCGATCAAATAATGGATTATGCAGAAAAAACCCACAAATATTGCTAAGATACTTGAAGGAGGGAAAAAATGAACCATGGAAATGAGTCTACAAAACCAATGGGCATTTTTATAATGTAAGTCTTTCCTGAAACAAAGGACAATAAAATAGGTCTTACCATTATTCTATCAATTCAGATAGTCCAGATTCCCAACAAGGGGAAAAATGCTGCCTTTTTAACTGGGTGCTTCCACGGACATCATCATACGGATGATGGTTCTGAAAGTAACAGCTCACAAACACAACTAGAAGAACTTGTGAAAATGGCAAAATTCTTTGCATGGCAAGTAATGGAGATACAATGATACACTGCTCAAGAACAGAATTATCAACCTGTTTTTTACGCCAGTGGACACCATTGAGCAGTTTTTCTCAAGGTTATGTCACGTACACTTCAGTGTGTATAAATAATTACTAACTTCTCATGCTTCTCTATCATCTATATGCTATTGATAACCTCCAATATGGTAGTATCTGTAGTAAAATTGGTTATTGATTTTTACTTTGCAGGAAAAAATGCTCTCATCTTTGGAGACTAAACAGCATTGCTAATTAAATCATGAAAGGAGAAAAAGAAAACAGAAGGAAAATCTTTTTGCATAATAAAACAACACATTTAACATTAGCATTTCAATCTGATTTATATTATTCTCAGTGAAATAAGAGTTTGATTTCCTTTCTAATAGTTGGACTCCTTCCTGGTCATATTAAAATGAGATAGTTAGTCTCCATGTTTTCCTTTTGCACCTCTCTAATAGATAACTGTACTGGTCCATGATCTGGCCAGTCTGTTCTGCCTTGTTTGGCTGATATGGCATTATTAAGTAATGATATGGAAATTGGGCTCATATCTCTTTGTGTATATAGTTTGTGTGGTGCTGAATAAAAAGATAAGTCTCTTTTGGATTTAAACATCTCTAGGAGTCACAAAATTCATAATCTTAGTGCTGTGCCTGATTTTCTGTCTTTTGTTATACCTCCATCAGATCTATCTACTTTTGAGTCCAAAACACAGTATTTATAGTCTCCTCCCAAAACATCGTCCTGTTTAAATTTCTCTCAAGTTTGAGATAGCTTTCTAAAGAAAGACATCTGGCTCTCCCTGACTAGGTGCATAGATACTTTCTACAGTTAACATTCTATCACCAATAGTTCCCTTAACAAGCATGCACCTGCCTTCCATATCCATATATGTTTCTTTTAGCTGAAAGGTAAATGATAAATTATAATTGCAACTCCTCTTTTAGTCAATTTATCTGGAGTTATTTGTGTGTTTGTGTGTGTGGGGGGTGGGGGGGAGAGTGAAACCACTTGCCTCTTATGTGTTCACTGAATTCCTTTTAAAGG